TTAAAAATTACTCTGGATTTTCCTCAGTTGTAGTGATGTCTACTTTCTTCTTCTTCTTCTTCTTCTTCTTCTTCTTCTTCTTCTTCTTCTTCCTCCTCCTCCTCCTCCTCCTCCCTACAGAGCTGCCAGGTTTTAAATGACTCTGTAATGCTGTGCAAAGCCCCAGGCATTGTACCCGGGGAGCAGGCGCTGCCTCTTGCTGGCGCTCACCCGGATGAGTTTGGCTTCCTCTTGGACCACGTGGCTGTTGTGCGAACCCTGAACCGCTCGGCCTTCACCTACTACCCTGACCCCAGCTTTGAGTCATTTGGGCCCAGTGGCATCCTGGAGATCAAGCCTGGATCCCACGTCGTCCTCAAGGTACTGGAACTGTTTGTGCCAAACCTATAAAAATCATAATTGTAATAAGCCTCCTGAATTCAAGAGAATGAGACAGCCAGCTGAATAATTGTCTGCTGAAAATTAAAATCATGAACAGATGGATTTTGTGCTGCATGACACATTTGTCTCATACTGGACAGGAATAAGTATGTAAATAAAATAGAATAAAATAAAATAGCATAACAAGGTATGTAGGTAGGATAGTACATTGTTAAAGACTGTAGCATTAATTTGGTTAAGGATGTAAGATTTGCATCCTGATGTATCTCTATCTTGTTAAAATTTTAAAGTAATGTTTTAGACTTTACCATAGCGAAGGCAGAGGTGTGCATGTGAGAGCAGATGAGTGAGTAAAAGTAATCCCTTGATGTAATCTCAGAATCTGGGAGTGATCTGCCTGAAGAGGATTTCTTAGTTGTCAAGGGAGTCAGCTTTAGACTCTTGCCTTTCCCAAGGAGTATGAACATTATGAAAAATTTGCAACTTTATTGAAAACATGTTTGCCTGTTTTACAGCAGCTGCAGATAATGCATCTTTTCTTAGTACAGACTTAGATTACTAGTATGCATTTTTAAGCACAGAGCATCTACAATGAAGTAAATATTTGCATACACTCAATCAGACTTCCTGCCTTCACAAACACAACACCACAGACAAACAACTTGGAAGGCCAGGGAATGTACTTATCTGACAGAGAGTTTGATTATTCAACCTCTCACCCTGTGCTGGTGTGGACTATAGATATGTTCTCTCCTGACAAGGGTGTTTGTACCTAAATGTGCCTATTTTGCATTGTGGAAATCCTGGGCGCATAGAGATTGCCCTGCCTTGGTCCAAATTCAGGTTTGTATGATAGAATGGTCTTCCTCTTTCTCTCTTTCTCTCTCACTTATACCCCTACATCTCCCAGGGCAGAAACCTGATCCCTGCAGTGTCTGGCAGCGCACGGCTCAACTATACTGTGCTGATAGGTGGAGAACCATGCACTCTGACTGTTTCAGAGACCCAACTGCTGTGTGATTCGCCAAGCCAAACTGGGGAGCAGCCAGTCACGGTACACCTCATGTACTAGGTGGGGGTGGGTGGGTATGCTTGAGTGGCGTTATGGGATCAGTCCATCCATTCTGGCCCTTTTTAGTCTTGATTTGATGCTACAGTATGTCAGTGGAACCTGAGAAAAACCCCTTAGGAAAAATTAATCTATTTCCCCCAAGTCGACTGTAAGTACCCAGTTGGCAGAGCCTCCCTCCATACCCCCAAATAGTTGGGCAGACAGGTCTTTCCGCAAGCCAGGTGGCTTCAAGCCCCTGCCAGGATGAGATCACTCTTCCTGAAGTTATGTGGATGTGTGCCACATGCACTTCCCCCAGGAACTGGCTTTGCTCCTCCTTCCCTTTCTCACATAGATAAGATGAGAGAGGAGCGAAGAGAGAAACAGAATCCTTTGGGGTATATCTTAGAGGAATGAAAGGGGCCTAAAAAACAGCCCACAAACATCCTCCAGCTGGATCAAGCCCACTGGCCAGTTTCTCCATCCCCTGCTGTAGACCAGCAGTTAAATTTGTGGGGTGGAACATGTAAATCAGTTAGATTGTGGAGGGCACCTTGTGTTCCAGGCACAATGCCTTATCTCCAAAAGGGGCATAGTCGAGAAAAACACAAGTGGACTTAAAAGGCTATTTCTCAAAAAAAAATAATAATGCTGTTGCCCAAACATCTGTGTTCGGAGACAGTCTGATCCCAGAACCACTTGAAACTGGTTGAAGAACAAACAGGGGTAGGCAAAAAACAAAAAAGCTGTTGCCCACCTGTGTTCGGAGACAGTCTGATCCCTGAACCACTGGAAACTGGTTGAAGAACAAACAGGGGTAGGAAGAGCTGTCTTAATGCCCTGCCTGTGAGATTCCTAGTGGCATCTGACTAGCATAGCTATCAGCCAGACAGACATGGAGCCACTGATTCAATCCGGAAGGGTAGGCTCCATTACTAGTTTAATCTCTGGGTCTCTTCTACTCACAGATCCTGGTGGGGGGTCTGTCCTTCTCCCCTGGGACCCTCCACATCTACCCTGAGGCAGCGCTACCTTTGCCTGCACTTGTCGGTTTAGGAGCAGGGGGTAGTCTGCTTCTGGGAGCCATCATCGGGGTGCTGGTGGCCTACAAGCGGAAGACACGGGATGCTGACCGCACTCTGAAACGCCTTCAGCTGCAAATGGACAACCTGGAATCTCGTGTAGCCCTGGAATGCAAGGAAGGTACTGAGCGAGGTGGACGTGGAAAGCTTGTGACTAGGAAGGAGGGGAGAGTCACTGTCTTTGTCCTCAATGGGGCTGATGATTTCTTTACTATCTCAGGGTTTTCTTTGGCATCTCTTTGGAAGGAGGCTAGTGCTTGGCATGGGATCAATAACTAGGAGGAAGGATCTTTCCTCGGAGGGTTCTCTCTACTGCCAAAACAGAAGTCAAGGCAGCGGCTAGACAAGTATTCTTTAGAAAAGCTTAGAAAAATTGCCTCCTTGGACTGCAACTTGCCAAATGCTTCTACAAGCTCTGTTTTTAGCAAATCAGTATGTGTGCCTCAGACCTAACTCCGGGTATGCAGAACAGCTTGATCTGGATAGGAAAGACCTACAGCCTGAACAGTAGGGATAAACCAATCAGGTTTTAACTATTCCACATTAGTTTCTCATGTAGTCAGCCATGTCCATTCCACGCCATGTCAACCTCAGCCTGCAATTAAAAAACCAACCAACCAACAAGAAAAAAACCATGGAAGTACACGTTTATTTTTGAACATGATTTTTCACATATTTGTGCAATTATCCATGCATCCCCCCCAACCTATACATTTTATATGTAGTTTCTTCCTAATACATGCCTTTTGTCCTCAGTTTATGAGTGGAGAATTATGCAGCAAAACGTCCAGAATGGAAATAGGGGTGTGTGGTTTTGTTTGTTTGTTTGCTTGCTTGCTTGCTTTTGTTTTTTAGCTTACCAAAACAAGAAAAAAGACAAAAAGCATTTTTTCCCCTCCATTTGTTCAGTCCAGGATCTGAGAGTCCACATATTGCCCACCTTGCAGTTAAATCTCTAGTGTGTGTTGAGGCTGGGCAAGAAGACACATCTGAATAGCTTTGTCCATGTCTACAACTTGTACAGAACCACAAAATTCCATCAGGAAAAAAAAAGCCCTCATGCAAAGATACAAAATACCGCTAGAAAAATGAATGCTCCAGAGTCTACTTACAAAAGAACAGATCCTACACTTCCTTTGCTGTATTCTTTTTTTAACAGAATGTCAGTGCTGCATTTCAGGGAGCTTTTTTTGCCTCTGCTGGGTTTGTTTGGACTTCAGCTCCCATAATCCCCAGCTCAAATAGCCATGACTCAGAGGTTATGGGAATTTCAGTGCAAAACACGTGTATGAGGCTGCGGTATCATGTTGGAGAAGACAGTTTTGGACAAGCACTTAAGTAATTTGAATCCAAAGACTGAATATCCTGACAAAGCCATCTCATTGGAAGTACATTGAGACTCGGAGGGAGGGCAGTAATTTTTAAGCGGCTGGTCCGATTTGAGAGGGCAAAGCTGCTACAAAGCAGATGTAGTGTGTCCTTCCTTGATGCCTTGGGGGGTGGGGGTTAGTGAAGAGGATTGCCCCCTATGCATACCACCCAACCCCTTTTGACATTCTGTCATTTCTTCAGCTTTTGCTGAGTTGCAGACAGACATTAATGAGCTGACCAACAACATGGATGGAGTGAAAATCCCTTTCCTGGACTATCGGACGTATGCGAGGCGTGTGCTCTTCCCAGGAGTGGATGATCACCCTGCACTGCAGGAGACCAGTGTGAGTGCAAGGCATGGGAATTGGGACCCAGCAGACATTTCTCCTGAATGTTTGGGGAAAGGGGAGAAGAGGGATCTGAAACATGGAGTAAATCTACTATGAAAGTAAATGGGTGCAGAGACCACTCTACAACATACACTTCTTGTAACTTAGGTATGTGGTGTCATCAGCTTTTTATTTGGTTCTTCCTCCATTCAGATGATTATGATGGGGGCTCACATTGGGGGGTGGGGGCTCCTAGAAGAAGCTTTTGTAATGTAATTACCCTGTCCCAGTCACAGAATGTTATGGAAGGGAAAGAGGTATTGAAGTGTCATCAACTTCTTTCATTCTTTTATTAGCAGGGGGAAATCCATTAAGAAGGGGAAGATGGAATGGCTGTCTGATGTCTTTTGATTAATAGTGCTAGGAGCTATCCATTTGGAAGCACCCATGGATCTAGTTCCTGATAACAATGGGAACAAGTTCTCTCACTTGTCTACAGACCAGCTCTGACATTTCCCTCAATGTCAGGGCCTGTGTTATTGTAGTGCAGGGGAAGAGCTTGTTCGATTTCTTTCCTACTTTTGTCAGAAGAACAGAGGCCATGTTCAGAAACAGTGTCCACATGAGTACTAAATGCCACTGGAGGAAAACAAGAGAAGCCAGTTGTACCTTCATAATCCCCTGTTTGTAAGCCCCCGGAGGCATCTATTGTTGGAAAACAGTGGCTCAGGTGGATTCTTTTGCAGAAGTCAGAAAAGTTACTTTTTGATATGATGACTCCCAAAGTCCCCCACCAGCATGGCTAGTAACAATACTGGTAGGGAATTCTGGGAGCTGTAATCCCAAAAAGTAACTTTTCCAAACTCCAGGTGGTTTATATACACTGATGGTTCTACAATGATTTCAAAACTTGGGTGCCCAGATGTTCCTGGACTCAGAGGAGCCTTCACCACTAGCTATGCTGGCCAGGATTTCTGGGAGCTGTCACCTAAGAACATGTGGGGAGCCAAGGTTGGGAACCACTGGTCTATAAGAGAGGGAATGTGAAGTCAAGCATTTCAAAGATACATCTCTTTCACTGTCCATTTTTGCCCAGAATGTGTGAAAAGGGACAAGGAAACTTCTGAGGTGTCTCTGTCCCTTTGAAATATGGACTCTTGGGTTTGCTTGATGGCATTCATGTTCATATCTCTGCAGACTCCACCAAGCACCGAGAAGGGGCTTCGTCTCTTTGGGCAGCTGTTGCACACACGGCCCTTCCTGCTGACCTTCATCCACACACTTGAAGGCCAGCGTGGCTTCTCCATGCGGGATCGTGGGGCTGTGGCATCTCTGACTATGGTGGCACTGCAGGGTCGGCTTGACTACGCTACTGGGGTGCTGAAGCAGCTGCTGGCGGACCTCATTGAAAAGAATCTGCAGAATCGTGCCCACCCCAAGCTGTTGCTCCGTCGGTGAGAAGCTGCCTTTGATACATTCACTCTTCCTCTACTAGTTGCTGCTCTGTTAGCACTAACTTTTCAGCATCAGTAAAATGCCATAGTGCATAACACTTTGTCCTTACTGCTTCTCCATATTATCTAGAGATAACAAGAGTTCTTAAGGCCAGAGGTGCAGCATCTTGTTGGTTCAGTCAGTTCAAGTACTGGTGGTATTACTTTCTCTTCTGCACTTTCATTCAGAATTATCTTATTTGTCCTTGCTTATATGTCTGTGTCATCCTGTAGAAGTCAGAGGGAGATGCCCCAAACTTTGAGTTCTGTGTTAGTAGCAGGATTGCCAAAGAACCAAATATGAAGCACAGCTGGAAAATTATAGCCCTCCAGATGTTGTTAGACTCCAGTGCCTATTCTTCACTGGCCACTCTGGTCAGGACTAGCAGTCTATCAACATTTGGAGGAGCACAGGTTCCCCAGCCGTACCATAGAGGAATGGCAGGTTTCTAGTACATATTACAGGGCACAGGGAACCAAGTATGAAGCAGTTTTGTTCAGATTTTAGTTTTCACAGCAGTGTGTAGGTGTTGGGGACTTCTTCTGCTTGGCATGCATGAGCAACTGTTCTTTCTCTCTCTCTCTTTTCAGGACGGAGTCGGTGGCTGAAAAAATGTTGACCAATTGGTTTACTTTTCTTCTGCACAGGTTCCTCAAGGTGAGAAGCGTTGGAACATGGCAACAGACATTTGAGTTCTCCTCTCTCTCTCTCTCTCTTTTTAATTTAGCCAGAGAACAGAAATCTACAGAAGGATTAATGAACTCTTAGCTCTAGAAATCCTAGCCGTGGTCTTTGCTATGGAGGTGGGAAAATGGGCAAGAACATTCAGGGATTAGTGGAGGAGCAACCACTGCTCAGTGCTGAAGTGCCCACTTTCCATGTGGAAGGTCCCAAGGTCAGTTATGATGTCTCCAGTTCCAAATGGGGGCCAGATATGAGACAATGTGGAAGTCTTTCTGTGCCAGAGTCCCCGAAGAGCGGCTGACCAGCAGAGTAGGCAGCACTGGGCTAGGTGCATAAATAGCCTCCCCTTGTCTGAAGCAACTTCTTTTGTTTGCTGCCTCTGAACCTGTCTCTTCTGGTCTGCAGGAATGTGCTGGAGAACCCCTCTTCATGCTTTTCTGTGCCATCAAGCAGCAGATGGAGAAGGGCCCTATAGATTCCATCACTGGTGAGGCACGCTACTCATTGAGCGAGGACAAGCTCATACGGCAGCAGATCGATTACAAGACCTTGGTGAGTGTAAGAGTGCAGCCATTTTGTCTCCTTCCAGGCCAGGGAGCCAATGGTTTATTCCACTTCCAGTAAAGCATAAGTACAGTACATGAGGGAGAACAGACCTGTTGCATAGTGGACCACTCTGGCTTGCAGTCTTGGTGGCTTGGGAGACTGTGTGCCACCAGACTGGATGCGACAAGCCATCTAACCTCCTAGTGACTGAAGACCTTGCTTTGTAGCATGACCTGCTCAAGCCCAGAAGGAATGTAGTTCACAGGAAGCAGGGCTGTGGATTGAGCCAGGAATTGTATGTAGTGCATCATGGAAAGGATATAGTGCAAACATACCGTGTGGGGAGGGAGGGGGATTGATTTGCAGGACAGGGATATCAGGAAGAAATATATTTTGCACCAGCTTTTTCTTGGCTGTGGAACAATCTGGCCTTCCATGCTTGCATTTGCCAGCAACTAGGCAAGGTCAGCAGTTCTACCTCCATGTTTATTTTGCAATCGTAAGTGTTTCAGCATGACAAATGCACTCCACTTGCAGGACCAACCCAAAACATAGCATTTTAGAAACATGACAGCTTTTGCTGTTCAAAATTTGAAGCTGGACGTGAGGCCAAATGAATATTATCACCTTCCAAAATCATAGAAGTATCTATTCTTGGTGCCTGTAAATACAGGATATATGGATCCCCACGTGGCTAAGAAACAGCAGTTTGTTTCTTCTTGTAGACCCTGTTATGTACTCCACCGGAGCCACCTGGGGGGCCTGCCGTGCCTGTCAAGGTGTTAAACTGTGACTCAGTGACACAGGTGAAGGAGAAGTTGTTGGACGCTGTGTACCGAGGGGTGCCCTACTCCCAGCGCCCGCGTGCAGAGGACATGGAACTGGGTATGAAGGCAGAAATACGAGATAATGAAGGTGGGGATGTGAATTTGGCATGGACCTGGATAAACTGGCCAGTAAAAAGAAATAGGTGGGTGGAGGAAACCGAAGCCAGCTTTCTTCTGACCGACTTCCCTGTTCATCCCAGAGTGGTGTCAGGGCAGTGGGGGCCGGACCATCTTGCAGGATGAGGATGCCACAAGCCGGATTGAGGGAGACTGGAAAAGGCTCAACACGCTAGGCCATTATCAGGTAACTGCCCTCTTTTCTCCACTTCGGGGCAGAATTAGCTATCCTCTATATCCTGCTGTTTGAGGCTGTCCCAACGTTAAAAACTGAGTAGTGGTGGTGAGCGTGCAGATCTAACCTCCTTTTGTGGCCCAGAATGCAATTGTCTTCCATATCTCTCAAGAATGTGGCTAGCCTTCAACAGGAAGTCAACAATGCTTTGGGGATCCATTGGCAGTCTTGAATAGCAGAGTATACCAGGTGGAGAGGGTAAGGTGGGTGCCTGTGAGTGTGGTAGCCAAGGAACCTCGAGACCTCATTCTTTTCCATACAGAATGCTTCAGGGATCGAGTACATTCTGGAGATTATCCAAACCCTATTCTTGTTTGCTGTAGTAGAAGCTTGGCACAATATAATGGTTAAAAGTTTCAGCCTGGAAGCCTCCTCCTGTTCAGTTCAGGGCTTCATTGTGGGACTAGTGGCTCTAGGTCAGAACTATTACTCTTTTAGCCTTGCCTGCTATATGGGGACATGCACATCTGCCCTTCAGTATACTCACATGCGTTCGCCAATATGCGTGTAAGAATACATAATACTAGTCTTATTTATAGAAATACACTAAAGATTAATAGGATGTTTGCAAAATGCACCACATGTTCAAGATGCCTTATGTTAATGCTGCTTATTATTCTTTTATTTCTTCCTCCACCCCACCCCACCCCACCCCTATCATTAACCTTGTGTTTTCCTCTTTCATTCCTGCCATCCCTGCCATTCAATGTGCAGGTAACAGATGGCTCCACAGTGGCACTGGTTCCTAGGCAGGCGTCAGGCTACAATATTGCCAGCTCCTTCACTTTCACCCACTCGCTGAGCCGCTATGGTAAGGAATGGCGAACCCCAGGATCACCCCGTTTCCTTTTCTTCCCCCAATGTAAAGGCTCGCCTGCACTGAATCACCTGTGTTTGCTGCCTCTTTTTCTTTCCAACCTGCGTCACTCTCAGCAAAGAAATTTCTAAGCTCAGTATCTTCTTGGTTAAGTTATTTTCTTCTACTGCCTCTTTTAAAGGAGGGGTGGGCAACTGAACCAACCTCTCTTAGTTGGCCCTTGATATGATCCCTTTTGTTGTGGTGTGGCTTCTCTGCCTTTTGAAGAGTGTGTTGAAAGCATGATCCTGCTGGATCTGTTCTTTCAAAGGATGCCCCTCCGAGGCAGGGAGGAGGTGACCTCCTTCCAGCCTGAACAGGGAGAGGAGAGTCCTTTGAAAAGCATGGTTCTCATTGGATCTGTAGTTTCAAAGACTGCTCATTACCAGGTAGTGAAGAGCAACCTTCTCCCTGCACAGGGAAGGAAAGAGAAGTAAGTCAGGGTGATTATGTGTGAACACATACATGAGACAGGAAGACTATCAGTCCCAGTTGCCCTCTGACTCTAGTACATCAAGAGAGAGCACGTCTGGAGGATGAAAAGGTTTGTGCCCTGATGTTTAACAGAGTTACACACCCTTCGTTCCTATGTGTTCCCTTGCTTGCAAATTAAATAAACGTAATGAATTAATTATGTGCCCAACCTGTATAAATTATGCAGATTTACATACGTTCTTATTTTTCAGATTTTCTGCTTTAGTAGTCACAGAGAGGAGCTTCTCCTAATCACTGGGCATCTAATTTAGGTGCTTCTGAGTAGTATTCAGATGTTGCCATCCATTTTCAAGCATGAGGGCTAGAAACCTACTTTTTGAAAACTAAAAGAAACAAAAAGCTGAATTCTGCAAACAGGAGCATATTGGTTGAAATCTTGGTGCTTAGCGCTGTAAGTCATAACTAGAGTTGACCCATTGAATCAGTGGGACATACAGAGGATCTGACTCACTAAATTCCCACTAATTCAGTGGGCCTACTCTAATTGTGACTTACTATTCATCTTTCTATTCATTTTTTCCTGAACTGCAACACACACATAGTTCATTAGGTTGGCATTAATGCCTGAATGACAGTAGGCTCTTTTGGCATTTGGGGCTTGTTTTCGGAGTCTGTGGAGTCTTCCCTGCTCCGTTGGCTCTCTCACAATGCTCCCTGTCAAGGTTTGGCTTTGTATTTTAACCCCTTTATGTTACAAATGCTGCACAGTCTTGTGCAGAGGGGAAAGTCCACATTATCTCTGCATTTTCCCTGGAGTTGCGTGAACTGATGCATAAGAGAAGAGCTGCCTTTCCTGTGTGAAGTGGACTCTGTTATTTGTCTGAAGGGCCTCCTTCTCCTCTTGGTGCCCAACCCAGGTGGCCTTTTAGTGCCTCTGCCATCAGCCCTTCTCGGAGGAAGGCTGCTGCCACATCCAGATTTCTCATCCTTGCTTTTCCTGACTGCGCCACCCTCTTCTGGCCATAATTATTCCCTGCTATTCCAGGCATGGACTGCCTGTAATTTGGCTGCCACTCCTGTTTTGTGGCTCTGTGGTTGGGAGGGGAAGCAGGCACGGCAGATGTTGCTATTTGACCCGTGGGGTGGGGTGGGGGTGGAGGCAGGGGGGTAATGTTATTGGCAGTTCTGGTGTTACCAGTGCTCAGGCACTAAGTCTTCCCGAATGCTGAATGAATACAAATCTATCTTTTTGGGGTGGGTGGGGTGAGGAGCACTAGATCTGAAGGAAAGGTGTTTGGAAGTGGGCTGTTCTATTCTCCACTCAAAGTGGAGGCTGCTGCTTTTCCCCTCCCTTCTCACCCTCCCAAACCATCCTTACAGAGAGCTTGCTACGCACCTCCAGCAGCCCTGAAAGTTTGCGCTCACGAGCTCCCATCCTCACTCCGGACCAAGATTCAGGCACCCGCCTCTGGCATCTGGTCAAGAACCACGAGCACCTTGGAGATCCCAAAGAAGGGGAACGAGGGAGCAAGATGGTATCTGAGATCTACCTCACCCGGCTCCTTGCCACTAAGGTATAGCAGGCAAGGGTCCGCTGTGGCGGGTGGTGGGGGTGCTTATAGCCTGTGCCTAGACGGCCACTCCATGGCAGAGGTCTTTCTTTGGAAGGTCCTGCGCCATCTTCCCAGATAGCAGGATCTGTTCTTTAAAGCTTGAACTCCTGGTGCCGTCCCCTTTTTTTGCAGGAGGCGACTGGTTGAATGTAGTGTTGTTTGCCGCATCCTCAGTGGATGCAATAGACAGTTCTCTCTAATACTTTTTAAAACACTGAGATGTCGTAACCCCATTACTCTCTACCATGTTTGTATTTTCTCATGTCCGCATTGAGGACACAGAGGTTCCAACGGCCTTTCCTCTCTGCCTGGAGCTTCCATTGCAGTGGATGTGAAATCTGTGGTCCTCCACCTGTTGTCAGATTCCACCTCGTGCCAGTCGCAGCCATAGCTGGAGGGCCAGAGGTTCCCCTCCCTTGCTTTATCAGCTCTGTAATGGTGGTTCCTCAAGAAAACCCATTGGAGGGACATTTTTGCAGTCTTCTCTCCTTACTCTGTTTTCACAGAGGCGGTTCTATCTAAGCCTTTGCACAGATGGCCTTGGCTCCCCTGAGCAAGGCATGCTTCCGGCTGCATCCCGCCTGGGTTGCAGGAGCTTGGTCATTGGCTCCTCTGTTCTGGTCCCTGTGGCTCACCCCTCCTGCTTCCCAGGGCTCACCAGCTGACAGCTAACCTTCAGTTTGGATGCTCATATTTACATACTGTGGAATGTCAGGTCCATAACATTTCCGGTGAAGTCAGAACCATAAATTATCTGCTAGTGCGCAAGAGTGCAAGTGTCACTTGAGGTCTGAACTGTGCTTCATGTCTTTAGGTCAGGCTTTTGTTATGTGATCACCTTGCCTTATCAATAAACAGGATTTTACAAGGGCACTGTCATCGATCAACTTGTAACCATCAGACATTGTCCCACTGGTTCTTCCGCCTTCTTTTCTTTCTACAAAGTGTCCATTAAAGAGGAAAAGACAGGTGTGCTGGGCAGTGTCCTTTAAGTAGTACATTTAGGAGCTATCATTTTGGGCATCCTGTTTGCACACACACATGTGGGTTTGTGCCCTGTGGCTCTTTGTGATTGATATGATCTCATTAGTGTAAGTTAGTGTTTGGTATTAGCACATGTTAATAGTATTTTGTGACGCTATTGATCGCTGTTGCCCTGTGGTTGCCTGGAAAGAAGAAGCAACTATTTAAATCAGTATAAAAAAGGTTTATATTGAAATATGAAAGTGCTGCCGAAAAGGCAAAGCTTATAGACATTTTTCAAGGACCTGATTTTATAGCTGCAAATCAGAGAAATTGTTACAGAAATAAATGAAGTAAGAGAGTGCAAGAAAAGGTAAGATTGTCTTGAGAAGAATACTTAATGAGATGATTTAGGGTAGGGAAAATATATATTCATATCAAGAGTTGTATCTTTCTCAGGGTGGAGGGTGGGGAGCTGAGGTTGGGCCTTCTCAATAGATCGCAACAAGGATCCTAAAATTTGGAAAACTGAATCATTTTTCTTTTGCACAATTTAGCAGACTATATGTTGGATAAACATATGGAGGTTTTCAGAAACAAAACAGAAATGGGCCTCACTGGACCTTTGAGGGAAGGCAGATTCTCATGGATAAATGTGCCTGAATAGAAGTTACTGGTAAATCCAAGACTTGGCCTCTTAAAGCCAATGAATTTGGAAGCAGGGAATACTGAAATATGTGCATTTTATTTTTCCTCCATGTCCATGAGGACTGACATTTTGTCTGGGGTTTCAGACTTTTAATACAGGCCAGGATTTTCATGATTTTGAAAAAGCTACCACATTATGCCCTCCATAGAGTGATAAAACTTACAAAGGGTTTTGCAGACCTCTTGGACCATAGTCAGGTTTCAGCCTGACAGTTGTCCCACTAATTCTAATTTGGGGAAGATTAGAGCTCAGAATATTATTTTTTTTAAAGGAAAACATTTGAGCTATTCATTTATGGCAGGTAGGTAACAGTTGTTGTTATTGTAGTACCATCTGCCAGAAAAGAAAAAAAGCAATTTGTTAACTTGTACATTAGTGAGACGTGTAGCCATTACCAGCAAAGGAGAAGAATGGTCAGTTCTTATATTGGAACTTGAAAATAATACAGAACTGGAAACAATACTTCTTTTTCTATAAAACCTGAAAAAATCCTGCAAAAAAGGCTTTAAAATTTTAACTTTTGAAAGTAACAAGAAAAATTTATTTGTCATACAAAGAATTGCTCTGTAGCAGCTTGGTAAGTTACTTTTGAAATGTATTTATTTCCATCCTTGTGATCCCAATGTGTAATTAAGTTTTGAGTGAGTGCATTACTTGCACCTAGTGATTTCCATTCATTCATTTATTTATTTAAAATATTTCTATGTCACCTTTCTCCCCAAAAGGACCCAAGGTGGCTTACATTACTAAAATGGTATTTGAAAGCTACAACAATAAGTATACAAATATTTTAAAAGAATTAAACAAGTACTATATTAAAACAGAAACCAAGATCAATATTAAAACCCATTGAAAACAAGAGATATTGGCCTTGTTGGATGTTTGCCTGTCCTTTCCCACTGATCTGTGGTTGGGATTTGCCACATCTTAGCAACGTGGGGATAAGGTAAAATGTCTAGTCCTGACCACCAGATTGTCAGGAATGTGTTCTCTCCCCTCCACCTGTCTATCCCAAAAGACATTTTCCCAGGTGCTGTTCTCTTCCTCTTTCCTAGGGCACGCTGCAGAAGTTTGTAGATGATCTGTTTGAGACTGTGTTCAGCACAGCGCATCGTGCCAGCGCCCTCCCCCTGCCCATCAAATACATGTTTGACTTCCTGGATGAGCAGGCGGAGAGGAGACAGATAGGTGACCCTGACGTCCGGCATACCTGGAAGAGTAATTGGTGAGATCTGTGGCTTCAGCCCTTCCTTCCCACACCAGCACAATGACCTAACCCAGTGATAGGAAACTCCTAGCCTAGGATTAAAGAATCGCTGAAAGCCACTAACTGTTGACCTAGTAGGCACCCAGGGTGAAGCAGATGGCCTGTTTGTTCCACAGAAACCATACATGTTTTGTCTGAATGCATGCAGCTCTGTTTCTTCCCCAGACATGCCTGACTGAGATTATTGGCATCTGCAAGGAGTGCAGGGAGGGCTAAAGAGAAGATGCCTCCTTCCTGCTTCAGCCATTCTTCAGCCAGTTGGCAAACACTGCCTCAAAGTGATTGATCAAGTCCTCTTTTAGGAATGCATTTGCCCCCCAAAAGCAAGCACTCAAGAATCCCCATGTGCATATGTGATGCTGGGTGGTCAGCATCACATATGTGTGTGCACACGCCATCAAGTTGATTCCAACTTATGGCGACCCTTTCTAGAATTTTCTAGGTAGAGAATACACAGAAGTGGTTTATCATTCACTTCTTCTGGGGACATCCTGGGACTGTGCAGCTTGCCCGAGGCCACCCAGGCTAGCTCTACTTGTAGGAGGCCCAGTGGGGAATTGAACTCCCAGCCTCTGGCTCTGCAGCCAGATACCTAACTCACAGAGCTATCCATCCAGCTGCTTAGGGGTAAAGGAAGGCCATATTCCTGCCCTTCTGTTGGATGTTGTCCTCTTGGTGCGCTTTTTAGTAAAGTGATATTGTCCCTAGGTAATGAGGTCAAATTCTATGAGGAAGTAGGATTTAGGAACAACAAAAGGGAAAATTCCCTTTTTATATTAACACAGCTCCCAGAGTCCTGCAGCCAGCATGGGAATTGTAGGGAAAAATATAACTTTCCTATAGTCTTTTTAGGATCCTTTGGAGCCATCTGGGTCACATTTAAAAGGCTCTTATCTTCAGTGCGATCTGTTGCATCTTGCACTTGAGTGATCCTGCCATTCACACACGAGACGTTTCTTCTCCCAAGAGAAAGATTCAGGCAGCACTCCAGATCACTCCAATTTACTTTTTTTATTATTATTATTGATGCTCTCTCTCCCACCCCCTTTCCCTACCTTTCGTTTCAGTTGTCATTCCATGGGCCACAGCAACTTCCCTTTTTTTGTTGTTGTTTAATTTAGTAAGTGTCATAGCACTACAGCAATTCATCAGCCTAGCATGGATAATTCCTTCTATCTCAAACAGTGCTGCATCACTTAGGAGAATATTTCTAAAAATTGTGAAAAAGAGGAAAATAGAGGGGAGGGGTTCTCCACTGTCCTTTCTACTGTCTCAACCCACTGCGTAATCACGGGGTTGTCACCAAATAGAACGCCACCTACAGCTCTTATTTGGGAGTGAATTAAGCAATCACACAGACTGCAAAATGGGATAATCAGGGGCACTCCCAATAAACTGAAGCCCTAGCGCTATGTCAGAAAGGAATGGAGCCAGTCACAAAAGGGGTGGGATTGGTCGCTCTTCCTTAAAACACGTCATCTCTAGAAAATAGGGTGAATCAAGCCACATCAAATGCGAACTAAATAATGATCTATATGTTCATCTGATCACTGCTGCCCCTCACTTTCTGATGGACTGTTGCCTATTTTCAATTCCAGCCTGCCTTTGCGGTTCTGGGTAAATGTCATCAAGAATCCACAGTTTGTTTTTGACATCCACAAGAGCAGTATCACAGACGCTTGCCTTTCTGTGGTGGCCCAAACCTTCATGGACTCATGTTCCACCTCTGAACACCGCCTGGGCAAGGATTCCCCATCAACAAAGCTGCTATACGCCAAGGACATTCCTGTCTATAAAGGCTGGGTGGAAAGGTGAGCACTCGGGGGAAGTAATGTTAAACAATGGAGCCTGCTATTACAGAAGTGGGATGATGGTTCATCTCCCTTCCTCCCGCTGAGGACTGTCAGGGACCTCAACAAATTTCCACAGTTGGGGCCAGATTAAGACATAGTGAGACCCTAACCTATGGCAAATTTAAGAGGCTTTATAGGTTTTCCAAAAATGGCTTTTAGTTTTAACAGTAATGTAAACCCTGAAGTTAGTAATTGGTTTGTACAGTGGTGCCTCGCTTAACAACGTTAATTCATTCCAGCGAAATCGCTGTAGAGCGAAAACGTCGTAAAGTGAAAATAAAAAACCAATTGAAACGCATTAAAGCCCAGTTAATGCATTCCAGTGGGCTAAAAACTCACCATCCAGCGAAGATCCTCCATACGGCGGCCATTTTCAGTGCCTGTTTAGCGAGGAATCCGTCCCTAAGCACAGCGGGGAGCCATTTTGAGCTACCGGCGGCCATTTTGAAAACCCGACGATCAGCTGTTTTGATCGTCGTAATGTGAAGAATCGGTTCCCGAAGCAGGGGACTGATCTTCGCAAAGCGAAAAAACCCTGTTTAAAACATCGTTTTGTGATTGCGATCGCAAAAACATTGTCGTGGTGCGGGGTAATCGTTAAGTGGGGTATGACTGTATTTAGAGAGCCATCTTAATCTGAAGCCCTAAGATACAGCTTCGTTAGCTTGTGGATAAATCTAGAACTCTTCCTCCTCTCCTCAGTGCATCATACCATCTGCAACTCTTGTGGTACAGATTAACAAGTTTCCGCTATACCTAAAGCTTGGTTTATATAACATGGGAGTGCCTGGAAAGAACTGTTTAGAAGAGGGGAGGCAATGTTTTCTCATCTGTCCTTAGGGCAGTTAGCCAGGGCAGAAAATTCTTGATGACGGGGAAAAGACTGTCCTACAACTGTATTATGGGCAAAATTGATTTGCATAAACTGGAGTTGAACACTGTGCTTTGACCTATGTCTAAGTCCCACTCCCGGAAAGACTACCAGCCATTGAAATTCAGCAGCATGGTGGCAGCTGGAAGTGAGGTGTGTGGGTTGTTTTTTTTTTCACTTCTAGTAGCCCAAATCACATCTGGCACTAAAACCACAACTTCCCACCAAGGCACCTCATTTTAGAACACAAGACTTAAAAAAAAAAATCAATGGCAGGAGCCCTGCAGACCATAAAAACTACAATGGGGGCTACATGTGCCCCACACATAACACTTTGGCCCTCCCAGTGTAAACAACTGAAGGGCTTGATTTTCCCTGTCACTTTGCAGAGATGAGAGGGTTCCTTGAACAATGTCCTCTTTCCTCAGACCTATGAGATCCCAATGCAGTTTCTGTCTCCATTTCCTAGGTACTATCGGGACATCAGCAAGATGGCATCCATCAGTGATCAAGATATGGATGCTTATCTAGTAGAACAATCCCGGCAGCATGCGGGTGAATTTAACACCCTTGGTGCACTGGGAGAGCTCTACAGCTACGTGGGAAGGTACCGTGATGAGGTGAGGCTGCATCATAACATTCCCCTTCCCTCTCATCCCTGCCCCTTCTCACTCCGTCTGCCGTCAGTCATCCAAGAGTGCTTGAGGGAGGCTTATCCAGTATACTGTACATCTGGCAAGGGCTGGGTCTAAACTGATTCCTGGTACAAGATCTGTGCAGTGGGGACAGGTCATGGCACGGTAAGGTACCTCTGTGTGCCTGTTCCTGCAGTCTCTTTCCCCCTTGTGTATGATGCTGGTTCTGTATTCTCCGATCCATTGGTGCCTTCTGCTCAGTAGGCCAAGGGATGATGGATCTGACTGAGCAAAAGGCATGACAGAAGCTTCTGCAACAAGTGGAGACCTGGATTCTGTTCCTAGTCTTATCTAGCATGCTGGAGGAAATAGTCTCTCCCCATCACCACCACCACCTCCTCTGCCTTTACCTGGAGAACAGAGATCTGAAGGAATGTTGAGAGGAAGGGCAGAGAAAGGAGTGGAGATATGATAGGAAATGAAGTCTCTCCCTGAGTCCAGTTTTTGACACTCTTGTCTGACTCCAGCCTAAAACTGCACGAAGGAGCCAAAGGGTGGAGCTTAAAAGCCTCTTTTACCCTCCACTGTCCCTCAACAAACCTTTCCAAATTTAACGGGCCNGGAGTTTGAGGCTCAGTATCCCCTGACCTTTTTTTTTTTACCTTTCTCTTTTCCTTCCCTTCTTCCGTACCCTGCGTTTCCCGCCTCGTCGCTTGCCCTGACTTACCCCACCACCACCACCACCAGATCCTGACGGCGCTGGAACGTGATGCTGCCTGCCGGAAACACAAACTGAGGCCGAAGCTTGAACAAGTCATCACTCTCGTTTCTGGGAATAGCTGAGAGTCCAGGAGGGCGGGTTTGCGAGGGGGCAAAAAAAGGGAAGCAGGGGCACACGTCCTCAGCAGATGGATCCGAAAAAGACTCTACCTCCAACTTTGACGTGTGGTGCCACCAAGGGGGGGGGGGAACAGACTTGACCTTTTTAACTTCCCCCGTGGGCCAGAGATCTATGTGACCTTTTGCACTCTAAGGCTGAAGTCCTGGGGTTGCCAATGGAGGTTGTGGTGCCCTCCCCTCCTCCCCCAACCTTCAGTCTGGAAGCAATAACAAGCATCCTTCCTTCGCATCTGAACTGGGAAGGGCAACTCAAAATGAGCAGTGAGGTTGGGGCACAGCCAGATAACGCCCCCCCTCAAGCTGGCAGCTAGATGGAGATCCCTCACCCCCTCCCCAATGTTTGTGGATCCTCCCGTTAAGCATAACAGTCCATTTCCTAGTCTCCCCCACTCCTCATCGGTAGCTGGTGGAATTCGCCCTTGTTCTGTTTTTGGTAACCATGACAATTGGATATTTTTTATCCGTACCTGAGAACACCCCCCCTCCCGTTCACCCCCGCCCCACCTGTTGTGCCCTCATGGGGTGCAGTGCCTTACTCATTAATTTATTATTGCATCTTGTTAAGATTATTGGCTGTAAATGATTCCATTCCCTGGGTGTAGAGATTTCAGTGTAAAAAGTCCTCCGTTTCCCCCCTCCCCATTCTTGAGAGTGTGTGTAAATATTTGCACTGCAGCCTGGAGGGATTCAATCCCCCCCACTCCTCCAAAATAAATAAATAAATAATGTCGTGAAATAAAATAAAATTTAAAATCCCCCTTGGGGTTTAGAAATTAAGGTGGGGTGTCCCTGCAGCTGCACTGGCTTTTTATTGGTTCATTTTATAATTAATTTTTCTTTTGCTAAATAAAAGCCTGGAAAAATGGTTTTTTTCCCCTTGATATCATGTGTGTGCTGGGATGTATTGGGAGGGATTCCATAAGAGAGCAATTGCAGAGAAATGAACCCTGTCTTCAGGCGTTCCAGACTCATACAGAAATATTTTGGTCTCTCTCTTCTTTCCATATGCTGTCTTTTGTTCATCTGCAAGGTTGGTTTCTCCCCTCCTGTCCTCTTTTGAATTGCACCTAAAACTCTAAGGATAGTACTCTACCTCACATGTAGAATAAGATCAAATACTGTCTGTCTGTCTGTTTGTGCGTGTGTGTGTGCATTTAACACTGCAATTTCTAGTATTCAAACACTGCCTGAAAAACATCATTTTGGTTTTGTCCTGAGTGCCACCCAGGAATCAGCTTTTTTGCTGGAAACACTCCTGGGCGTGCAACAAGTACAACATACAAATTACAAGCCACACATCCTTAACTACTCAAGTACCTGGATTGGGTCTTGCGGTTGGGATTCCCAATGTGCATCTCGGGCAAGGGGAGAAAAGTATGATACAGACCCCCTGGAGGCTGTGTTTCCAGCCTTTGAATACATGTTTTCCTATCAAAAATTGTGAATGTCAGTTTCTGGAATTCCAAAAGAAGCAATTCATATTTCAAATTGGTCACAGGAGCTCACTGCACGGCATACTCTAAAATACCCACTTTTTGAATGCTGGAAGAATAAATCTAGCCGTGCCTGGTTATGCCTTTTGCCCTGGTTCCCCCCCCCCCCCNCCCCCCGGCCAACATTTCCTTTTTTGGTGTTCTGTATAGTTCCCATAGGGTGACGGAGACAGAAAATTGACTTCAATGTTTCAGACTGCAGGTCAACAGTATTATATTATTCCACATAAAACTTAGCTTTCTTTCCACCAATAGAAAGCAAGCATAGCAGGAAGAAAATTTTCCCCCATGCCTGTTATGCTCTCTCTCTCTCTCTCTCTCTCTCTCTCTCTCTCTCTCTCTCTCTCTCTCTCTCTGTGTGTGTGTGTGTGTGTGTGTGTGTGTGTGTGTGTGTGTGTGAGAGAGAGAGCGAGAGAGAGAGAGAGAGAGAATATACAAGGAAGTATTCAAAAATGTGTTCACCTATCTTGACCCCATTCTGTCACCTCAGCATGTCAACCCCTTTTGCTGTAGAATGTCTCTAGACTAATATTGCATTTGTTCTTGCAATTTATTCTGGCTTTGCCATCCTTTGCTCCCTTTTGGGGGGGAAATCCAAATGCAGATATAATTGCCAACCCATTGCATTCCAGTGGTTTCTGTTATGCTCTCCCACCTTTTATTAAAAAGAAGAAGAAGCCTGACTTGGGGTGATTTTTTAAAAACAGGAGCGGTACCAATGTATGCAGTGGGAACTTTCAAAATACTGTATTATTGGGACTTTTTAAGGGCTACTGTGCCTTTAGTTGGTCATGTTCTCTTTAGAGCATCTCCGCCTGTTACCTCTTATTCAACACAACAGCAATATTACTGAACAGTGAGCTATTAATTGCTTCTTAATCAGTCCATTCATGTTTCCTGCAAAAGGGGAGTGGCTTAATAAACATGATAATGACAAACTGATGTTTTCATAACGTTGAGCTAAGTGGAAAATTCCTTGAAGGCTTTCTCCTACTTTTGAAAAAAAGAACAGACTAAGGAGCAGCAAAATACTGGGGGAGGGGGGGCCCTAAAAAAAAAAACACAGAACAGGCAGCACCAATAGGCAGAACCCACAAGGAGGAAACTCCTAATTAACATTGCAAGGACTGATGGTTTTGGATAATGCAGTACTAAATTAAATGCTCTTTGGAACCACTGTTTTAATTCCAGTCTCGGATGATTGCTCAAAAACAGTTCCTTGGCAATGCTGAAGAGCTTGGTGTAGGAGCAGTCTAGGTCTTTCTAGTGTCAGTGTTGTGTTTTGATCTCTGTTCCATAGATGGGAGGATCTGCTTTGTGGCTCTTTCAGAGTTCGTTACAGATGCTTGCAGAGTTTGCAGGAGTCCTACATTTTTACATGTGCTCCTCCTTTGCTAGTCCATTAAACAAAATAGATACCCATTACCTGTTGCTTTAATTGTTCTGGAACATTTTCTTTTTCAGATTATTTGGGCATTCTCTTCATCTACACTCCTCATTGACCAGATGTTTTTAGTGTACTCCAAGCCATTTGGGCAAATGATATTCAGTCTATGTTCAACTGCTGGCCGTCCTCCGGCATGATCTGCTTGGCCAAGAGTCTGGGCACCAAAACAAGGGTTTTGTCTGACTTGTAAAAGACAGACAGACGTTAAATGTACAGACTCAACTGCTGGCTGTCCTCCGGCATGATCTGCTTGGCCAGGAGTCTGGGCACCTAAACAAGGGTTTTGTCCAGGTCTGATTTATAAAAGACAGACAGACGTTAAATGTACAGAGTGACCATGGCAAGAACAGAAACTACATGCTATAGTTTAACCTTAGTTGGGGGTACCAAATAAATCTAACAGGACTCACTATGTGACCTGTGATCAGGAGTCTTGCCACATAAGCAGTCATTTAAAAAAAAAAAACCAAAGGATGCTTCCAGGTGAGGGTTTTATAAAGAAGGTACATTGGCTCATTTGTAGAACTTCCAGATGTGATCATCTTCTGTTTTTAGCCCTCCTGGCCACATCCTTTAATAGTTTAGGAGATAAAGACAGAGCAATTGACTTTTGATTGGTAATTCTAGGAGTTGTCTGCCTGGAAGCATTTGAGGATTTCGGCTCACTGTGAAATGATATGAGCTACTGTGTGGGCAGCTGAGAGCAAAGCTATGGGCCTGTTTATGAATGAAAGAATGAAGTGTTATGCAGAGAGAACTGCTTCCCCCTTTGCACGCAAACACTGTATCCTCACTATACAGGAACAAGAGATGTTTTGTATACACAGAGAAGTCAGCTCTTGAAATAAAGCATTCAAGAGAATCAGGCGTCCTCCCGTTAAGCTATCTGTTTCACTTAAGGCAGTAGTAGGGAATCTCTGGCCCTCCAGATGTTCCAGACTACAATTGGCAAACTGCATATTATTGGCCATCTTGCCTGGGGTTCTGGGAGTTGAGATCCAAAACATCAGGAGGGGCAAGTGCTCCCTGTCCCTAATGTAAGGGCTGTAGTTAAACAAAAAGGAAATAAGTGGCTGACACATAGAAAAAATATCCTCCTTCTGTCTCTTCTTCCTTACCCTCCATCAGCTAGGAACTTTATTTAATACAAAATGTTCATTCTGGAATATCTACCTCTTTTTGTTTTCATGCATATAGTTATGCAGACTAATCGAAGCTGGCCCAGGACTAAGGATGAGATGGTACCCCATCCTCTTTCCAAGTAGACAAGCTCACCCAACAGCTAGCTGAATCTTATTTCACAAGTAATGATGGGATAGCATCTTTCATAGCGGGCTAGTTCAGTACACAGGTTGTGTGACACACACAGCTCCCTCCTCCAAAGGATAGCTGGGGACGTTAAGGAGAAAGCTGTGCTGTTCCATCACTACCTGGCACCCGAGGCAATAGCCAAATATGAGAGCTGTCCACAAAATCACAGTCTCTTCTTTGTTCAGATGTTTATACTTAGAGAACTTGAGTGTCAGAAGGTTGGTGTGAAACTCACCTGCAGTGAAAGCTTGTGTGTATGTCATTTGTAAGCTGGTTGTTTAAGGGCACTGAATTCGATGCCCTGGGAGAAGTGAGCAATCACTTCTCCGATGGCAACCTTTTTCATAGGAAGGGGAGCATTTTGGAGTACTTGATTTGGCCTGGAGAGTCTTCTTCTTCTTCTTTAAACTCTTGAATGAGAGCATTTTGGAGTACTTGATTTGGCCTGCAGAATCTTCTTCTTCTTCTTCTTTAAACTCTTGAATGTAAGCATCGGCCCAGGATCTGCACCGAAGAATGTACTATGGGTTTCCTAAGCTTTTCTGGCTGTAGGATGGCGAGGAGGGGCTGATGCATGCATTTTTGCGCATGTGCATGTTTTTGATGTAGGAATAAGGCAAACCAGCAGTGCCCAGGAGGGGAGGCAGCAATAAGATAAAAAGGGAAAATTCTGGTGGCAGCTGTATGAATAAGTCATGGGCGCATTAGGGGCCTCATTAGCGGGAGCTCCGGGGTGCTGGGGAGCTGGTGGGGGAAGGAAGAGACATGTGGATTGTTTGTGCCTTCGAAACATCAACGTGACTTAAGCAGTTGAGTTAAAGGGATTTTAACTGTCAGGAGAAATGAGGGGAGTGGAGAGAGAAAGGGTGTAGATCTAAAGTGCCCAAAGAGATTATGATATAGGAGCTGTCCCCTCCTAACTGTATGTTGCTTTGGCAGTTGAAGCTTTCAACTCGGTCTCTCTTCCCAGTACAGTACACATGGATGGGTTAAAACTCAGACCATCCGCAGTCTCTCTTCCCATGGATGGGTTAAAACTCAGACCATCCGCTGGTCTGTTTATCAAGAACAGGAAAAAATAATATTTATTTTTTTGTTGTTGGTGGTAAAGCACTAGTCTCTGTTTTGCCTTTGGGGAGGGAAGGTTTAACAGTGCAAAGACTGGGGAAACATTTTCTGTTGAGGATCGCATAACCTTTTGAGAGTCCACATGTTGGTAGATTGGTAGGACAAGACCTCTCTCCCCAGTCCATCTCATCCCATCCCTCCCTCTCTCCTTTCATCTCAGGCATGCAGGTTTCTGAGGGCAAAGGCCTGATCACTTGCCAAAGGCCTAATCACTTGCAGCACCCTCAGCCAGGGGCCTCAGATGGCCGCTTAGATTGCCCCCTAGCTTACACAAATGTGCAGGAAAGGGGCCATTTTCCAACTCCATACCTCCTTCCCTGGCTCTCCAAAAGTTCTGTCTCTGAGAACAGAGGTAAGGCAAAGATTCATTTTTTATAAAATAAGTCTATAAATCAAGTGATGGCACTCTCTGGAGGTTTATGGGTCGAACGTGTCCATTTCTGCAGCCTTGAAGTCATAACCTCTACTAATTTTTTCTTATAAAAAGGGGGTACTGAAAAGTTATCCTTATGTACACTTTATTAGTCAATTTTAAAAAGCATGTAAACATATTAAGGCGGAAGGCGACATGGCTCACCCTACTTCCTAGAGGACAATTAAAATATTTGAAACATGGGGTGCTGGGTACCATTGGGAGCTGTATTTGGGTCCACGGGGCCATATAAGACTTCCAGGCTGTATGTTTTTTCATTGATCATATGCTGCCCATCACGGCTATACATCCACATACATATGAATATGTGTGCAGTGTACATGATCTTCCCAATGTATCCCATGCCAGCTGCTGAGGTTATTTATAATAGTCTATGGTGACAAAAATAGGGATGAGGCAAAATATTGTGGCACTTAAAGAACTAAGCAATTTGCTTCCATTTCAGTTTCGTGGATCAAAAGCCATTTCCTCAGATGAATGGAGTGCTCATATGATGTCATCTGTGTTTACGCATATTCTCATGGTGATTGGAGGTCATGGTCAGGTTAGGAACCAGACAACAGACAGGGTGACAATACATCATTAACAGAGGAATAGAACTATCAAAATATTAATTACTTAAAATTGCAGACCATAGCTGGGGTGGTTAGCTGTCTGCTGGAGGGGATAGTGGTGGCTATCCTGGAATTGCTAAGAGTTGTTTCCAAGGTAAGAGTCAAACTATGTCAAAGGAGACAAATATTTGATATACAGAAAATATTGTCAAAAATG